ATTTGAACGTAAACACATAATTAACGGTTATATAATTGATGTTTTCGTACTGAAGTAGTAATTAATTTGAATTATCTCTCAATATATTTGTCAAATTAAAATGCAAATGTTACCTCATATTTATTGCTGAATTATCTAGTCAATGTGGCAAAAAATGATGTACCGAATGTTACGTCAGTCACTAATATGCACTACTTCAATTGCTAATTATGCAACAGTTTTGCGAGTTACTCAAAATAATTACATAATGGTGTTAAAATTATTTAACATTTAAAATAATAACTTGTTCTAAATTCTTTTTTAAGAAATAATAAGAAAATTTATATTTAAAAAATTACTAAATCTTAATACGTTTTTTTTTTCATTAGAACTGACTGAATATTACAGTAATAAATATTAATTTAATAAAAAATGATGATTAAATCAAATTATCGGTTCTTACCGGTATAAATAAATATATGTTTACATTTATATTCAGTAAATATTTAGTTAATACTATTCCAACAAATATTTATTAAAACATTTAATAAACATTTTTTCAGAGTGTACTGATTTTTTTAGCTTTTTTTTTTAGTTTTATCAATTAAAAATACGCAGCTAACAATAAGTAGATAAATTGATAATAGAGAATGCGATGTTTAAAAAGTTATCATATCATCTATAATAAATTTATAATAAATTTAATGTCACGTGAATTCGTGAGAAAGATATGCTCTTTCCTCTTCCAAAATCATGGCCTATCTCTCTCTATCTTTTTTGCTTTACTCGTTCTGTCGAAACTAAATGCGAATGTTCCTGTGTTGAAGTTAATAGATTTATCTCGATAAAATTGTTGGGCAAGCTTGTGAAGCAATGCCAAGTCAAAGAAGAAAGAACTATGTCGAAAGGAGGAAAAAAGAGACGGAGAAAGAGAGAGAGAGAAAGAGAGAGAGAGAGAGAGAGAGAGAGAGAGAGAGAGGAGAAGAGAAAAAGAGAATGGGAAAATGTTTACAAAAAATTATTTCAATCTCCGTAATATACATGTAATATCGCGAGAAGCATGGTCGCTCGCATGCAGACATATTGCATCGAGAAAAGTGAAATTTTCACAATTGCATAAGAGCTATATAATACTAGCATTCAACACGACGTCATCGTGTAACGCAATCTAAATACGCGATGTAATGTCAATGATCAAGCGTAATAAGATAAGCGATCTGTATTTTGCGCCGACTCAGTCAATTACGAATTACGTAAACATCTTTTTAAACTGGAGCGTCTATTAAGACTTGAGCAAGTAATTGTGCACATTTCGTCCACCTGCTACTTTTCCCGACAAGCAATCAAATAAAAAAGAAATGTATATATCATTAATTATTATCTGTTATTCTTTATGTGACATTAATTAAACCAACCAAAAAAATAATAAAACGTCAATATATATATACCGTAAATTGCTTCGTGCGAAGAACCACGTTTATAAATGTTGTATCAACGACGTAATACTCTTATTATACCGACCGTAAAGCGCTTACGTCAATTACCTTTTACTTGCTCCTAGTCTACCTAGTCTAGTAAGAAATGAATGTAGATATTTTAGCGAAACTTTAAAAGAAACCATTACAATTTTTACAGATTATCAAATTGACCAAGTGACAAAGTAATAGATTTGTGTTTACTTGCGATAATGCGTGAGAAATAATTTTTAAATTGTAAGCAAATTGAAGTAAGTTATAAATTCTACGCATCTAGAAACGAATCTAGGTAAAGCCGTTCAATCACATTGCCAAATTTAATCTTATTTAACTCTAATCTCTTTCCTTCTTTTTTTTAAATTTATTTAACATAATTTTTTTAACATAAGTTTTTACATAAGAATTTATTTAACATAAGTTTTTGACTGATAAATCGGTCAACGATTAGAGAGTGCGTTTGGTGACACACGATTAGCGTTATTTGTGTCATTTTATCCTTACATCCATATCCTTTTACATCCAATAAATGATGAAAGTAGAATAACATAAATGGTGCTAATAGCGTCTCTCCGAACGCATCCTAGATATGCGTCCCAAATAAATAGATCGCGATTGCACATCCTCCACTCTACCTTCCGCTATCCCGATAACTTCCAAGCTCCGCGTTGCGGCAGATCGCATCGCATCAAGCAAGACCTGCGCCCTTATCCTTCCGCCAGCGCGTGCACCGAAGTGCATTCAAGATGAACGTCACGACGCGGACACGTGCTGAAGGAATGCCGCCGATACGATTCCGAAGTTCGCAAGTTGGTATACGTACACGCGCACGCACGCACACTGCGCTTTTTCGTCCTTTTTTTTTTCGTTTTTTAAAAAAAGTATAACGACTCCGTCGTTATACTTTTACGCCCGCGCGTTGTACGGAGGACGAGATAACTCGCGCGACGCGAGCGGGCGCACGCTCGCTTTCTGTGAACTGAGAGCGCTAAAGTTTGCGGCCGGTCTACGACGGACTTTCCCTTTCTTTCGGCTCTTTGGAGATCGGCGGCGGCGCCGCGCCGGTGTAATACCATGACGGGATCGACCGCGTTAAACTCGCCCGATTACTACATATGAACGATTGCTGTGAACGCCACGTCCACACCGTTGTACTGCAGAACTGCATAAAGACGCATACGCTTACACACATCAACCCGATGGCATTGACAAGTTTCCCGCCGCTCGCGTCTCTCGTTTCCATACTTGTTGCTCAACGAACGCGCGAACAAAGAATCTACCAGCTGGCAAGGAATGCATATCGTTTATTTATCTAAGCAACGACATATCTAGCTAAAAAAAAAATCAAGTTTTTCAGAAAATGAGTTTGATTTTTAAAGTCCGACCGAAACACTCGACTACATGTCAATTTCATTCGAAACTGAAACAATAATTAAAGAATAGAAATCCTACAAAGGCCATATGTACAGATATGCCTATATATCATATATTTTTTCTTTATAAATATCATAATTTATTGAAATATTAATTAAATTTCGGAAATTTTCGAAATCGAAAACAGAAATTTCGGTTGTGTGTCAATTTTGAGCCAAAGAGTATAGATATTTCTTCATAAACATCATAATTTAATTATTGAAACAATTACACATTAAAATTATACAATATTAAAATTAATATTTATGAAAAAGAGCTATATGGTTTCAATCAAAACTAACACGTAATGAATGTTCGTTTTTAGTTTCGGTAAAAGTTTCAGTTGGACTCTAATGTTTTTAATCATTGAAAGTTTGTAATATTATTTTTAAGTGCAAATTTATTTATAACAATTGATTGTACAAGAATGAAAGTATTAAGTTTTTTCACTAAAAGTATTTAATAACAATAACTAAGATGAGATATTGTTAAAGCAAAATAATTGACAAAATGTAGCAATAATGACGCAATTGCTTTCTTGTGAGTTTTAGCAACTCAATTATGTCGATCTAGGATGAAGAATTTCAAAGGACTGTTCTTTAAAATATAAATAATAAAAGATAACAATTTTTTAATTATATCGTTGTTTCAACAAATGAGCAATGTGAACAAACACAGAGATAGAGTTTTCAATAGTTTTGATAGGTAACTAACGCGAAGCTTCATTCGATTTTTTCTATACAGAAAATTTGCGATTATTTTCTATAGAAAAAAAGAAGCGCAATGATGAGAGATGAAAAGATAGTGTTGCAAGAAGCAAAAAATTTGTTTTTCGCTTAAAATTGCGGTCAAGGATTCTATGCGGCCTTCGGATATGTTCATGTCAAAATCTTATGTGATCATTATTAGAACCATTCCTAAAACAGGATTTCTTGTGAATATTACATTTTTATATACATAATATTCAATTTGTATTAAAGGTTTGAATTTAAGACTGAATAATCATCAGTTCCTAACTACGTCTCCTCACCTCGATGTATTAAGAATATTATTTAATAGAAAAAAACTTCTTCGCAATGTTTCTAAAAATCGTCCATACATTGAAAAAAAAAATCTAGTTCGATTAATTGGATTCTCTTGAAAATAAACGAAGCAGAATTTTCTAGTTAAATCAATTAAATTCTAAAAATAACAGGAATTTTGATTGTGATGTAATCAGAATCTTCTGATTCATCCATTTTCAACCAGATATTTTCAGTGTCAGGATGTCGAAATAATTTTTTTTTTTCATTCATTTGTCAAGCCTATCAAAGATGCAAAAAAATTAAAAAGAGAAACGATGACTTATTTGTAGCAAGATTTTACATTCCCTCCTTCATATATCCATATGTATATTATATGAGAGAGAGAGAGAGAGAGAGAGAGAGAGAGAGAGAGAGAACATAATTCGCATAAAAGACATAATACATATTTACGTATACATATTTACGTGTAAATTATAATTATCATCTGGTAAAATAACACGAGTAAGATTATACGAATGCAGAAAAAATTTACAAAGAAAGACGAAAAAAAATCTCTCTCGTATACGCCTCGTATAAAATGTTAATTATCTATTTAATTAAATAATTCAACTGATAAGTCACGCGTTAAAACTTCGTAAAACGTGAGAGCGCATCTCACGATAAACGATCCGAGCGATTTAATTGGCGCTCAGCGCAAATGCTCACTTTTGACGAGAGCAACGCGTACGAGGTTCATCGCTCTTGCACAAAGATGACCTTCGGACGAGGCTTCGTTCGCTTGCTGATGATGTGCGTGGTAATTGGAATAGCGCACCGTCCACTCAGCGTATCTCTTTTCAATATATTATACAATTCCGACGACGTGCGCACGAATAAATTCCCCCGAAGATAATCTATATCCTCAAATTTCTGACTTCACAGACTTTAAAAATGTCATCACCGTGTAACTTTGGTGTTAATTTATTAATCATCTTGCTTATGCCACATATGACATTTATTATAGTTAGTTAGTCTCCTTGAAATGCGTTTCACTCGTGTTCGTCCCAACTTACAATTTATGAAATATAGCAAAAGAAAATAGACGCGCGAAGAACAAAATGAATCCCACAAAAATATTCTAAAACTTAAAAAAATTAATTAACTTTTTTATTATTTATTTTATTATTTATTATGTATTATTTTTATTATTTAAACAAATCTTAAAATCCAAGACATTTAAACTAAATAATTAATTATCAATTAACTCTTACTATCAATAATCTAGCTGATTTAACTTTCTTTTTGTAAATACAATATGATAAATGCCTACAACATTGAATATATCGTGTCATCTGTCTTGATTATTCTTGTTAGATATATTATTTCGGATGCTGGTTCAGTCGGTCTGCGGTCGGTCCATTGATGTATGTCGATAAAGTTACCCACTAAAAATTCTTTCTCAATTTACCTTACCGATGTAAAACCTGCTTGGCAGCGCTCCATCCTATGTGCGGGAAAATTGTGAATTATAAAGAAGTTGAAGCAATGCTAGGACATTCGTGCCATCTGTGACGATAAATAATAAGTTTGTTATTCAAAGACACTTTCATTGAATTTGACAATCGTTTCCTGACATTATTTGCATTTATATTAATATTACTAACCTGAATCTAATTAAATATATTTTCTCCTATTTGTCATTTTATATTTTTCGTCCTTGATTAAAAAAATATACTGGCTACTGATGTATATAAATAAAAAACGAGTTTACCGACGAGTTTACGTGTTGATGAGATATTAAACATAAGACGCTTAGTATATAATACATACAATATACAGCTCGGTTTTAGAAATGTAAATTGATTATTAAAAATATTTTAGAAGCTATTTCAATTCATGAAGGTTTATTAATCATCTCTGTGTCGTATTACGGCGTTGCTCGTCAAAGTTTGGAACATGAATTTTTCAGAAACATCAACTGAATGAAATGGAAAGAAATGCGACGTAGTAAATAGAATAAGATATATCGATTCTATTGCAATATGACCTAAATTAGGTTTAACTAAACTTTTCGCGTTTATATCATGAATATTATCCTTGATCCATGAAGGTAACAAGAAGATAATTAATTGAAGAGATCTCAATATTTGAATTAGCTAACCTAAACTGTCTATATGAAGGGCCACGTAATCTTAAATGATGGTCAAATAATTTCTCCATGTTTTTAGAATGTACAATAGAAGTTCGGGCTCCAGCACCATAAGAAAAAAGAAAGATATGATCACGCATAAACTGCGTCTTTAGAAAAATAATACGTGAATATTTTCATGATCTACGTGAATATTTTCTGATCACTATCTCGACTTCGTGATTTTAACCTAGCCTATAAAAAATATATATTAAGAAATACATTAAAAATCTTATATTCGAATTCTTAAAACCTTGGAAAAATAAATCTGGAATCTCGCGAAGCTATTCCCTATTGCGCGATCCCTTGAGAAAAAATACTGAGTTGCACGTGGCATATTTCTTTTGCATTTTCATTTTCGTACAAATCTATCTCCGTCATAAAATATTGTAGAAGCGTGCTATCCTTACTTATTGTGTTGATATTATTTTCATAGTGTAAACAAGATCTGTTCTTAAAAAATAGGAAACTAGATTTTTCTAATCAGAAAAAAATCAGATTTTTCTAATCAGAAAAAATCAGATTTTTCTAATCAGAAAAAATCAGATTTTTCTAATCAGAAGGGAGCAAATTTTAAATATAATTTGAGGGGGTCTACTACTCGTTTATCATTAACCGCTCTACTAGTAAGCGACGATTAAAAATAGCGTAAAATTTTATGCTTAGTAAATGCTTAATTTAAACATTTAAGTATGAATAAAAACAGCAAAACTAGGAGTTTTATTATGAAAACTAATTAAATATATCATTTGCTAAAAAAAATTACGATTAATATAACTAATTATATTTTTTGTTAATATATTAATAAATTAATTTATGTTAATATTTTAATAAATATCTAATTGCAAAATATTTTTTTTTTTTTCAAATGATTTTGGGGAAAGGAAATTCATTATTGCGAGCAGATTTTCCACCGTATGACGATTTGGGGCCCTGAAAAGGGCCAGTTTTGTTATCAGTTTTGGATTAGCGGAATTAAAATTATTTTTTTGCTGCTTTTCCAGATTTCGTCGCTGCTGCCTTAGTCGTTTTTGGCTTGGGAGTCTTGGTTTTTGCCGCTGGAGCTTTGGTAGCTTTCTTGGTCTTCGACAGATTCTTGGTTTGAGCAGCAGCCTTTTGTTTTGCCGCGGCTTCGACCTTCTTTGTTGCTGCAGTTTTGGCAGTCTTCTTTGGAGATGCCGGCTTCTTCTCAGCCGTTGTCTTCTTAGTTTCGGCGGCCTTTTTAGCTGCAGGCGCTTTCTTTGCAACCTTCTTTCCGGTAGTCTTCTTTACGTCAGAGCTAGGTTTCTGCGCAACACGCTTCACCTTACCCTTGGAAGAGGGCTTGGTGGTCGAGAGTTTAAATGAGCCTGATGCACCTTTTCCTTTGGTTTGCACCACCGCACCGGACGTAACTGCTGCTCGAAGGTACCGTTTGATGAAGGGAGCAAATTTCTCTCCGTCGACTTTGTAAGTGGAAGCGATGTACTTCTTGATTGCCTGCACGGATGAACCCTTGCGATCTTTCAGTTCCTTGATGGCAGATGTGACCATCTCCGAAGTCGGCGGATGATTCGACTTAGGGCGCTGTGTCTTTGGTTTAGATTTCGCGCTCTTCTTCGCAGGCGCTGCAGCGGCTGAGTTTTCCGTAGCTGCAGCATTACCAGATGCGCTCTTATCTTCCATTGCGATGCGATGAGAGAAATGCCAATGCTCAACGACAAAGTACAAATATAAACTTTCGTACTAGACGCTCACAGATGACGCTATTCTCGAACATTGTCAAACAGCTCGCTCAACGCGCTACTTGTACTGTGAGCGCGGACCACGGAGAGAGGCCCTCCCAATGTTGCAGGTAACAAGCAGCTGGGAATGAAAGAGCGCCCGGTAATTGTTCGTTGTTTAAACAATATTTTACATAATTAAGGTCATTAGTTCGCGGCTCAGAATTGTAGAAGCAAGTAGCTAGTTTCATTTGATATACATTTTAACGGCCCTCCACGCGACTGACATCGATTTTTACGCGGTTCCATGCGATGCGAGCACTCGGGTCATTCGCGGAGCTCGATTCAATTCGAGAAATAAGTTAATAAACAATATAATTATTAATGCACGGCTCATTTATGCGGCTCATAAAACGTCGTGATAGCTGTGCTAACCGACCGCAAGTGTTTATCCCGAGCGAGGCACCAAATACGCGCTGAATATTCCAAGTTTCACGGGTGGCAGAATACAAGCGTTAGCGCAACACAAAGTGAATACCGATTACAAAGTACATTTGCAGACAATTTTACTGAATAGTGTAAAATGCCATTATCGATCGAGAGAAGCGTAAATATAATTGGGTTGCAATATTATATGCATAATCGATAATTTCGTTCGAAGAATATTGTATATACGCGAAAACGGCTTCCTATAACACGCCGATTGCCCCTATGCAGTTAAATCTTACTGTTATAATGAATCATATAACAAGAGATAACGAAATAACATATAGAGACTTATGTAGACGAAAAATACTCTTTAAAAAATATTAAATTGTCGTTGCATGGTCATTGTCTTGAAATTTGCAAAATTCAAGTGCAATTTGATATAATTCATTTCTGATTTGCGAACTATACGACCAAGGAAACATAAAAACTGTGCCGTAACCTAATAATATTTCTAAGTAATAAAGTTGTACAGATGATACGAATGCTTTTGCATCTTGGAACAGAAATCGATGATGTACTCAAGTTTTCGTTTTTGGAAATTTATAGAATAATTTTTTATGTCGAATCTGTGTTTGTAACGACTTAAGGATTCTTTTTCGCAGTGCGCTGATTAAGTCTCCCTGTACACAACAGTTACTTACAACAGTTCAAAATAGTATAATAGGCATATTTTCATGTTTTGTATATACCTTTGTTGAGTTTTTATACACAAAAAATTAATTACTCCAAATACAAATTACATATATTTTTTACAATGTTATCTATATTTCAAAAGAACCGTATTCATATAAGAGACACTCGATCGAATTGAAACGCTCGGTTGTTTATATTTGTTTATGAAGAATACAAACTTTGTTATAGAATTTAGATAGGAAAATTTGTTTTAAACATAGATTAAAATATATTACTTAATTTCTTGCATTTTTTTCTCGAACAATCGTTATTACGTCTTTATATTTTTGTTTTATATTTTTGAAACGCGCTATTAGATTTTCCTTATCTTATAATGCATTTTGTGAAACTTTCTAAAGTAATTAACATTTTAGAACTAGTGATTTTAACACTTATAATTAACATTTTTGTAATAATTAACATTTTACAACTAGTATATAATATATGTATATTATTCGTATCTATAATTTTTTTTATTATTAATAGAATTATTATATTCAAACATATCTACATGATGATTTGCATAATTTATGAAAATATGTGTGTGTACAAAATATTGACATTTGGTTTTTACAAACTTTCAATTACATTTCGAATATATTACGGGTGCTTTCATTAATTTTGTGACACAAGTCAACACAAGTATTGTTCTATCTTTGTCACTTTTTGAATATTAAAAAAAATAGAACTTATGTCGATTTTTGTCATCAAAAAACAATCCAATGAAAAACATTCAATATTTATCATATTTAAAAGCAGAAGCATATAATAAAGATAAAATATGAATATTTC